GGAGCAAGCTAGTAAGCAGCATCCGTCTTAGTCCGGGTTTCTTTTCTGTGAAGAGACACCATGACCATGGCAACTCTTATAAAGGAAAACATTTCATTGGGGCTGGCTTACAGTTCAGAGGTTCAGTCCATTATTGTCATGGCGGGAAGCATGGCAGCATGCAGGCAGACATGGTGCTGGAGAAGGAGCTGAGAGTTCTACCTCTGAATCCACAGAGCTCTGCATCTGAATCCAAAAGGAGACTGTGTCCCACAGTGGCCAGACTTGAGCATCTGAGACCTCAAAGCCTGCCCCTAGTGACACACTTCCTCCAACAAGGCCACACCTACTCCAACAAGGACACACTTTCTAACAGTGCCACTCCCTTTCGGCCAAGCATTCAAACACATGAGTCTATGGGGGCCATACCTATTAAAACCACCACAGCATCCCTCCACAGCATCTGCTTCAGTTCCTGCCTCCTGATTTCTGCTTTGAAGTCCTGGGCTGACTTCCTTCCAGGATGGATTCTGATGTGTGAGTCAAATTAACCCTTCCCCACCCCGCCCCAGGTCACTTTGGGCCAGGGTCCTTATCACAGAAACAGAAACTGAGTTAGGACAGTGTAACACCCACAGCCCGAGAAGCAAACACAAGCGAGGAGTTGCAGCCCTTGGGTGGGGGTCTGGGCTGTCCCTGGGTAAGCCTGTTGGAACCGCAGAGGTGCCAGCTGGCGCTCACGGCAGGTGGGACAGGAACAAGGAGTTAAGAGCATTGCAGCAGCAGGGCCCATTGGCCTCCATTACATCCCCTTCAGTTTTCTCCAGGAAAAGAGACTCACCAGAGTCCTAAGGAGACTCACCTAAGTTCCAAGACCATATGAAGAAAAGGCTCCAAAAGATGGAGCTGTACACAGCTGGAGAGTGCTATCCATCAGGGATGGAAGGACGGCCACTCGCTTCCCAGGAATGTGATTGGATGATACTTCTTAGCTGGCATAACCCTTAAGAATGATTTTGCCTGGGCTGACGAAATGGCTCAGCTGGTAAAGGAGCTTGCTGCCAAGCCCAACAACCTGAGTTCGATTCCTGGGATCCACATGGTGAAAGGAGAGAATTACTTCAAAAGTCGTCTCCTGACCTCCACATGTGCTCACAGACACACATAGACACACAGACACACACACACACACACACACATTGACTTCGTCTGAAGAATACTGCTTCACTCACGATCCTGCCTCTTTTCTGAAGCAGTTCAAATCCTATGACAGATCAACATGGGGACAAGCCTGTGGCCAGCCCAGCTTCGGTCCCCACATGGGCTGGCTGTCAGATTCTCCCTCTTTCTGTCTTGTTTCCTTCCCTCCCACAACACAGACTCATCCTACGAATGCTGTCTTGTAGCTTCCCTGGGCACATGTTCCCATCTCATGTCTCGCTCTCCAGGAGAGTCCACTTTGTACAGGCATCCCAGCCTCAGGGGACCAGCTGCAAGATGAGTCAACCCCACCCTGCCTTGCAGACCTCATTCCAGCCGGGGAGGCACTGGGGCCCCTGTGAACCTCAGATGCTTACTTACCTGAAAAGGCATTAGCTAACACCCACTGGACACTTTCTGCCGAAGATACTTCTATCATAGGTTGAAAAGGTTTCATTGTGGAGCTAGAGAGATGGCTCAGGGGTTAAGAGCACTGGCCGCTCTTACAGAGGTCCCGAGTTCAGTTCCCAGCACCCACATGATAGCTCAAAACTATCTGTAACTCATTTCAGGGGATCTGAGGCCCTCTTCTGGCCCCCATGGGTACTGATACACATGATACACATATACACATGCAGGGGGAAAAAACACCTACACACAAAAGTAAATGAATAAAAATTAAAGATTCCATTAACAAATAAGATGTGGATGGAGAGGAGCCTCTCACTGTAGCTTTACTGTAGACTTTTGGGAGGTTGGGTTTGAAATCCTGGGAGATACTAAGGTAGAGAGGTCTACAAAGCAACTGGTTCTGTAGTCTGGGCTAGCCTTGAATTCTCTCTGTAGCCCAGGCTAGCCTTGAACTCTCTCTGTAGCCCAGGCTGGCCTTGAACCTGTGGTTTTCCTGCCTCAGTCTTCTGGGTAGCTGGGACTATGTTGCTGCGCCACCATGCCTGGATTTTCCTTGATTCTGACTCATGTAAAAGACGCTGAATTCCATGTGCTACTAATACTTTAAGATTAAATCAACACCTCCTTCCTCCCTTCCCCTTTTCCTTAGTGAGATAAAAATGTTATTTTAAGTGACATACCTAAATAAGTTAAAAATTAATTTGGGGAAATGACTCCAGAATTCCAGAAATCAGTGAAGCCTGACAAGCCACATGCACAGCCCGGGTGACCTTTATGTTTTTTCCAGCGGATGGTCCAGATGGTAAGTTTTTCCCAGGGTCATACTTTGTGGGATGTCTGCATGATTGTTTTTCCAACCTCGGGAAAGAGGAAAGATACACATTTCCTTAAAATAATAAAACCCAACGTCTTCAGTTAAAAGTGAGACCTGCCCTTGCTGTGAGAGCTAGTCACTGTGTATTTGCCTCGATTTTTATTTATTTTTATTTTATGTGCACGGGTGTTTTGCTTGCAGGTCTGTATAGGCACCGTGTGCATGCAGAGCCTACAGAGGCCAGAAGGGGGCGTGAGATCCATCCCCTGAAACTGGAGTTATAGACAGTTTGTGAGCTGTGATGTGGGTGCTGGGAATTGAACTCAGGACCTCTGGAAGAACAGCCAGTGCTCTTAACCCCTGAGCCACCTCTCCTGCCCCGTCACCTGAGTATATTTAAGGTGACATGAGAGTCCTTGTATCATCAGGGAGTGAACCAAATGGCACACAAGAGACCTGGACCCAGTCCCTAGGGTTCCCCTCAGTGTGTGACCCACGCTACGCACCTCCCTGTCAGTTGCTCACTTGTGGGTAAAAGGATTAGGCTAACCAGTGACCGCATGCTTCTTCTCTGTACCGTTACTTCTTTGTGGTTTCATATTCCCATGCAGGCTTAGGCACTGCCCATGACAATGGTCCTCAAGGACTGCCGGGTTAAAAAATCACTGGCAGTGATTTGTGATGGACACAGGCAGCTGCCGATCCCTGGGTTACTTGCTTGAACATCTGGATTTGGTCTGGAAAGAGTCCTGCCGAGTGGCGTGCACCACGTGTTTTCTAGGTGATGCTGACTCAGGTGGTCCACCAACCAGAGCTGAGAGGCGCTCTGGTGCACTGTGGGTACCAAAGACACATCACTGGATGGCTGTCAGCTCTTACACCCACACCCCCTTCACCTTATCATACGGTATCGAGGTTACCATGTGTCCCTGAGTGTGAGTCTTCAAAATGACCTCTTTTTAGGCTTCAGAAAGACATCTTCCTCGTGTAGCGATGGTGAGAGTCAGTGGATGACTGTGGTTTGCTGTTTGCTGCTATCACGTGCTAGAAAAATTAAGTGGATTTTTTTCTTTTTATATTTGTGCGCCCGTGTGGTGAATGCCACGGCAAATGTGTGGAGGTCAAGACCAATCTGCAGGCATCGCTTCTCTCGTCCACCATGTGGGTGCAAGGATTGACCTCAGGTCGGCAGACTTGGCAGCAAGGGCGTCTACTGCCGGACCATCTCACTGGCGCCCAAATTGGATTTCAGGAGTTAAATAGCTAAATTGTGCCTTATTTCTCATTCTTTATGATTACGGAGGAGTCACTCAAGTGTGGCTATTGTGTGTTTACTTGTTTTGATTTCAAGTGATGCTTCAGCAGGAAGCACACAGGAGAGAGCGTTTTGTTTCTGCGGGCCTCTGTCTCCCAAGCGCTGGGTCTGCGGGTGTGCCCCACCACACCAGCCGGGTGAGAAGAGAGATTTCCATTGTTTAATCGCTTGTTCTTTCTATGTTTGCAACCCAAACAAACCGAAGCTACCGCCTCCTCCCCCTCCTCCTCCCCTATCTTCCCCTCCCTCTCCCCTCTCCCCCTCCCCTCTCCTCTTCCTTAAAAACGAATGTGAAGGGTCAGAGAAATGAACGGGATGGAGATGCGTGATGTGAAAGCCACAAAGAATAAATAAAAAAAAAGAAAAAGAACAGGCATACTTAAGAACTTCCAGGGTCTCCTTTCCCTCAGGACAGAAGCCTGGAGCCTGAGCACAGCCAATGAGTGCTGTGGGATGGTCTGTATGTCAAATTGCTCTGATTGGTCAATAAATAAAACACTGATTGGCCAGTGGCCAGGCAGGAAGTAGGTGGGACAAGGAGAGAGGAAAATTCTGGGAAGCGGAAGGCTGAGGCGGAGAGACACTGCCAGCTACCGCCATGATCAGCTGCATGTGAAGATGCCGGTAAGCCACGAGCCACGTGGCAAGGTATAGACTTATGAAAATGGATTGATTTAAGCTATAAGAACAGTTAGCAAGAAGCCTGCCACGGCCATACAGTTTGTAAGCAATATAAGTCTCTGTGTTTACTTGGTTGGGTCTGAGCGGCTGTGGGACTGGCGGGTGACAGAGATTTGTCCTGACTGTGGGCAAGGCAGGAAAACTCTAGCTACAAATGAGGCCATGATCGAGGCCCCCACCTGACCCCTCCGCCCGCTGTCAATGCCCAGCTTCCTGTGACAGCACTGTGTCCCTGAGCACCTTGAAATGGGTTCCTCCTTCATTAAAGATGCTCTTCCCTAAGCTCCTCTTCCAGTCAGCTTCCTCAGGCCCTTGGCTGTCAGCCGGCACTCCCACCTTGAGTTCACTACTGAGGTTCCTCAATTCACCGGTGGCACAGGCCTGTTCACAAACCCTTACGGACCCCAGGAATTTCCATCACAGCGTGTGTGCGTGCGTGCGTGCGTGCGTGCGTGCGTGCGTGTGTGCGTGCGTGCGTGTGTGCGTGCGTGCGTGCGTGCATGCTCAGAGTTCTGGGCAGTGGGTGTGCATTGATTTAGTTGTTGCGTTCATGTCTATCTCCTCCACGTCACAGTGAGCTTCGAGAGTCTGGGGGTCGGATGTGTTTAGCCTCCTGCAGTCATCCAGCCCTCACATGAGGCCTGCCTGGCAAAGGTGAGGCCAAGAACTGTGGCATCAACAGGCGGCCACGGTTAACTTTTACTGCGGTCATGTGCAAGCATCTGAGCGTCGACGGGAAACCAGCGAGGTTGTAAGTACAGAGGGAGCTCAGGCAGGGATGTGAAAGCCAGTCTGGGAACATCTATGCTCAGATCACGGGGACCCCCAAAAGACCACCACGGAGACCGAATCCAGCATGTAAAAGCCAAGAACCTTTATTTCAAGCTCTGGAGCTTGGTCCCTCTGTCTGTCCAACACAGCGGTGAGAGCAGAGAGCCCTGAGCTCAGATGGGGTCGGGTTTTTAATCATAGCAGAGGTTGGGATGAGGGGATTTCCAGAGTTCAGGACCCTGATTGGCTGACAATTGTCTAGGGCTATCTGTAAAACAAAAAATAAGGACATCTGGCCACCTTATCTAATGGTTGGAATGTTTGGGATGTCAGGTACTTCCTCACCCCTGGGTGGATCCCTGGGTGGTATCAGCTTGGGGCTTTTCCTGGATCTGGGTCTTGCCTGCCAGTAAGCCTGTCACAGAAGCTAGGCCCCTAAGCCTGTCATGGCTGCTGTGTGGTCAAGCTGTTTTGGGGCCCTCCACACTTACCTCTGTTGACAGAGGGTTCTCTACCACCAGGACTAATAAATACTGACTCTTTCACACACAGACATGAGTCACATCTGGCTCTCCATTGCAGATGGAGTTCTACAGTATCTAACCTGACTTCTCCATCCTAACTCAACACTGCCCAGTTTTCTCCAAAGCTCGACATCCTCTGGCCATCTGCCTCCCTTCTAACCACTTGCCCTTCCAACTCTAACCCTACCATACCCACACAAGCAAATCTCACTTCCTAAACTTGTCACAATTCCTGGACCTGGTGAAATAATCACATAGAGACATTTTTAATACCACCATTCCCAGGCTTAATCCCCAAAGATTCCAGAAGGAGACTGTAGTCTGATCTTAAGAGATAAGACACACCATCCAGTCGAAGCTTAGTGCTGACATCCATGAGGTTTTGCTGGGGATATCAAACCCGATAAATGTGGAGTGAGGTCCAAGACTTAGATAGCATTCACAGAGTGGCTTGGAGTGGCTGGCACATCTTCCCAGCATTCTTTTCATTTGCTTCTCCTAACCCAGCAATTCTAACTTCCAAAGGAAAAAGCTCAGTACACCAGAGGTGTGGTTCCACCCCACATTTATTGTAGCATTGCTCACAACAGCCAGGACCTGGGATGGGCTAAGAATCCATCAACATAGGAGGAAAGACAACAGACAGATACCCTATGGATTACTCTTTTAGAAAGAAGGCTATTGTGCAGCTGGAGAGATGGTTCAGTGGTTAAGGGCACTGGCTACTCTTCCAGAGGTCCTGAGTTCAATTCCCAGCACCCACATGGTAGATTACAACCCTCTGTAACTCCAGTTCCAGGCAATCTGACCCCCTCTTCTGGCCTCTGTGGACACTGAACCCATGTGGTGCTCATATAGACATGCAGGCAAAACACTCATACACGTAAAATAAAAATAAAATTAAAAAGGAGAAAGCGATTCTGCCCTTTGTGACAATGTGGGTTAACATGGAGGGTGTTAGATTGAAATGGAAAAGCCAGGAAAAATCAGTACCATATGCTCGTGCCATGCAGGGCTCTGACCATGGTAGGTTCACAGACGTAGAGAGTAGAATGGTGCGACCAGCAGTTGAGAGAGACGTGTACCCAGCATAGGACACACATTTTTCAGTCAGGCCAGAGGAATAAGCTTATTGACCTCAGGTTTAGGATGGTAACTGTAACAAATCATGTTGTTGTGGGTCAATGAGTTGCATGTTGTTGTGGGTCAATCTTTTTATACAATGTGAAGATGTGTGTCTGCTAAAGCACCTTCGGATTGCTTTAATAAAGAGCTGAATGGCCAATAGCTAGGCAGGAGAGGATAGGCAAACTTCCAGGGAGAGAGAGAAACTTGGAAAGAATCTGAGTGTACAGGATACAGTATATGGAGGAGAGGTAACGAGCCACGTGACAGAACATAGATTAATATAAACAGGTTAATTTAAGTTATAAGAGCTAGCTGGGAACAAGCCTAAGCTAAGGCCAAGCTTTCATAATTAATAAGAAGTCTCCTTGTCATTTGATTTGGGAACTGGAAGTCCAAAGAAAGTCTGACTACAACATGTTCCTATAGACTCTCCTACCCCTCAAGAAATGAAAGAAGGGAGCCTTGAGTGTTCTTGTCACTAAAGGGTCTTCTAAATTGTCTTGTTTAATACTCAAAGTCTAATAAATACGTCTGTGTATTATAAAACACTACCCAAATGCTTTCTGAATTCAAAATTAAGGCTAATATTAAAAGAATCTGGTAATTCTTTCTGGAATATTGGCTGAACACTGGGTACTCTTCTAAAAGCTGGAGATGCCTAGAAGTAAGACGATGAGACGCCGACCCAACCAGCAATGCTTTCTGATAGGCAAAACAAGTCCCTTTTGGAGGAGTCTGCTTACATGCTCAAATCTGGGGCGGTCGTGAACCTATCAATGGGAAAAGAATTTCTTGAGATAGTTTATCCTTAAGCTAACATGCACACACACACACACACACACACACACACACACACACACACAGCACACAACATACTCATAAACACACTCACACCCACAGAGCACACATTTCCTCTAAAAACAAGAAACACTTTTAAATCGTAATTTTTTCACTTCTTTGTGCCTCTAGATGAAAAGAAACAACAGACTGTAGACTCAAGGGAACTCGGAAGATTTCTAGACCATCTATGCAGCTGTAAGAATGTCCCCCCCCAGGCTCAGAGGTTTGAACACTTGCTTTCCAGTAGGTGGCGCTGTTTGGGGAGGTTTAGGAGCTATAGCCTCACTGGAGGAGGTATGTCACTGGAGAGTTTATGACTCCGTGCCAATTCCCACTGATTCTCTGCATTGTGCTTGCGATTGAGGGTGTAAGCTCTCAGCACCCTGCTGCTGCTGACTACTGCCCTGTCTCCCTGCCACAGTGGACCATAGGCCAAATCAACTCTTTTTTTCTACAAGGTGCCTTGGCCTGGTGTTTTAGCACCGCAACAGAAAAGTAACCGGTAAAACTTGCCATCCCCATACCTGATGCAAGCCACCTCCCTGCCGCATTCTCCTATGTTCAGAATTCACAAAGGCACCTACTTTGTCTTGTTATTGGAAATAACATGTGTTACCATATCTAACATGCCCAGGATGCACCTGGCGCACACACACACACACACACACACACGCACATGCACACGCACACGCACACGCACACGCACACGCACACACACACACACACCAACCTCTGAAACCCTTAGTATTTCTCTTCACCTGTTACTGTTGAATCCTATTTGATTGTTTACTCATCAAGGGGCCTTAGTTGCCTTTCTGTCTTCCCTGAACTTCACAATCGCTTCCAATTTAATCTCCACCGTGAATTTAATTAAAGTTCTGTTAGCAGCTACCTCTTGTAGACCATTAATGAAGCCGCTGGATCAAATGTAATAAAAGTCCCTGGAGCAGACGTCAGATGTTCTATTAATAACTGTTTGCTCTTCTTTGTGCTCAGACTATACGGCTGCTCCCACCAACGTCCTCACTGGGAAAATAAAAATGAATAAAGCGCCTGAGAAAGCTGTGGCAAGAACCCCGGGAACCACACCACAGCATCGAGGCAGACACTTGTTTCTGCTAGGGAGGAGAAAAAGAATAGTTGACATCAGTAAGGAATTTTCCAGAGAACAAAGAGACATTTCCAATACTAAAATTAACAAACCTGGTGGGCTGGATTTAAATTTCATTCTGATCATATATGCCATCTGTAAGCAGAGAGGGACTCATGGGTCTTAGGACCCAATTTCTAACTCTAATCAGATCCTCTGCAGCCTTGACACTCAGAGTGCAGTGACCTGGAAGTCTGTCAGAAAAATGGAACCTGGGTTCCTACTTAAGAATTTGCATTTTAATACAATAATTTATATATTTGTTTTGTTTTTGTTTTTCAAGACAGGGTTTCTCTGTGTAGCTTTGCGCCTTTCCTGGAACTCACTTGGTAGCCCAGGCTGGCCTCGAACTCACAGAGATCCGCCTGCCTGTGCCTCCCGAGTGCTGGGATTAAAGGCGTGCGCCACCACCACCCGGCATAATTTATATATTTTTTTAAGATTAAGAATCATTATCTTAGCTGATCAACTTACAGTTGATCTGAGAAACAGTAGGTAAACAAACCCATGGTGTGTGTATATGCACATATATGCGAATGTGTCTGTATGTGTGTGCATATATGTGTATGTGTGCATGTATGTGAGGGGGTATGTGTTTATGTGGGGATATGTGTGTTTATGTGTGTGTATGTATATGTATATGTATGTGTGTATATAAGTGTGTGCATATGTATGTGTATGTATGTATATATGTATATTGTATGTGGGGATATGTGTATGTGTGTATGAGTATGTGTTTCTGTGTGTGTATATATGTGTGTATATGTGTTTGTATGTCTGTGTATTGTGTGCCTATGTATGTGGGTTTGTGTTTATGTGTATGTTGTATGTGTGTGCATATGTTTGTATGTATATGTAATGTGTATCTGTATGTGTGTATTGTATGTGTGGTGTATATGTGTGTAAATGTGTATGTGCAGAAGATGCACATGTATGCACATGTATGGGAGGGGGAGAGTGTGTCCAGGTACAGTGCTGTGGGATGGTCTGTCAAATTGCTCTGATTTGAAAACTCTAGCTACAAATGGCGCCCAACATGTTGGCAAGAGTTTCTGCCTAAAACCTGAAAAAAAAGATTCTAAAACGGAGCTAAAAACAGTTGGTAGTTGTTTCTCTCAAGTTAGTGGCAGCCTGCATGTTTGAGCTACTATGGCGGGTTCCTGGTGTGTGCGCTCGACCTGCATTATGGCGGGAATGAGGCCTCTGCAAGTGTCACATTAAGCTGCGTGGTGGATTTAGCCTTTGCTAGTACAAAACAAAAAAAAAAGAGGTTTCTGGGCTATACACTGCTTTGATAGAAGCATAGACCCACTATTTCTGAGAGTTGATGGCTCCCAGAGCTGGTGGAAAACGTACCACCGCCATGTTGGGAATCTGAAGTGGGCAGAGCCAGCAGCCACAGCGCCATTTCAGTCTTAGAATGGTGCAGTTTAAAGCAATAGGCTCAAGGTAATATAAAAATTAAGCCACATAAAGATGGCTACCACACAGAGAATCTGGGTTATGTTCTCTTTGATATTCGTAACTGAAGAAAAACATTTGATTGCAAAAGCTGTTGAGTTATGCCAAAATGTATACTTTAAAGGCACCTTGACTTCAAAATTTGGATGTAAGGATATGTTGCTTTGGAAAAGAGGCTCTGCTTTTGTGTCCACAGAAAGCCAGAGGCCATGGGTTTGTTCCACATTAAGATACATCAGGTTTAGCTGGGCGGTGGTGGCGCACGCCTTTAATCCCAGCACTCGGGAGGCAGAGCCAGGCGGATCTTTGTGAGTTCGAGGCCAGCCTGGGCTACCAAGTGAGTTCCAGGAAAGGCGCAAAGCTACACAGAGAAACCCTGTCT